TGACCTGTCTTCGCAGCTAGTGTTTTGCAGATATGGCAGAAAGGGCGATCTGGTGAACCAGCGTGATGACTAGAGCCATACAGTGGGAATGAGTCATAGGGATGACAGCAATGGGAATGGGAATGATACTCATTGCATGTTACCATGTGTCATGTATACTGTTAAGTTTTGTTTGAAAAAACTGAAGCAAAATTCACACAGCATAAACAAGCTGTTAACTATTTTAAGGAGTACCATTTCGTGGCTTTGAGTAGACTCACACTGTTGTGCCACCATCTCCTCCACCTAGTCCCAAGCCATTTTTATGACCTCAGAAGGAAACGCTGTGTATGTTTAGTCGCATCCACTCTTGGCAGCTAACTCTGCTTCCTGACTCCAAGTATTATTCTGTTGTGTGAATAAGCTCTGTTCAGCTGTCCACCAGTAAATGGACCTTTAGCTTGTTTTTGTCTCTTGACTGTGAGTGAGTTTTACGTGCATCATCATCAGATTTTCATGAGACCCCAGGGAGGAAGGTAATGCTCGCATCTTGATTATATGTACCTGTGGTGAGTTGAGGCAACGAGAGATCATGTGACTAGTCAAAGCCATGTCAGTGTTGGCGTTGTGACTAGAATGGAAGCTGGCTTCAAGTGATTCAAAATTTCGAGACTTAGGAATTCAACTTCGCTCTGCTAGACTACAGTCACAGATGTGTTAGGAGCATTAAAGAAGGGAAGGAAGTTGGCAATCCCTCAGGCTTGTTGTTAAGCACCTACAAGAGAGGTGTGTCTTAAGATTTCCACAAGATTCATAGCATCGTTTGCACGTCATGGGAAGCTGCCTCACACACTTCCTCCAAAATATCTCTATGAAACAGGAGAGTAGGCTGGGTGTGAGGGTTCACGCCTGTCATGTCAACACTTTGGGAGGTGGAGGCCAGAGGATTGCCTGAGCCCAGGGATTGGAGACCAGCCTGTAGAGGCAAGACCTCATCACGACGATAAATCAAACATTAGCCAGACATGGTACTGCTTGCCTGTAGTTCAAGCTGCTTTGGAGGCTGAAGTGAGGCAGGAAGCCCTCTCCCCAAGCCTCATGAGAGACAGGCCTTCCCAGGACAGGACAGAGTATGTGCGCGTGGGGCCCCCCCCCAGTACAATAAGATAAAGGCCTTCCCAGGATAATTAAAAAGTTCTTCTAGCACCGCAAGATAAGAACTTTCTTGGATGATACATAGTAGAAAGGAATGTGACCCCAGTCTTTAGTGTGCAAGTGTAACTCTGCTGTCACCTTGAGCTATGAAATACCCAATTAACCAGTATATTACTAATAAGTAAACCGTATCAGGGAACAAGGAAGTTAAAATTGTGTAAAAGGCAACACCCCCCTGCTCTCAGTGCTCAGCTTTTGGATGCAAATCCACTGAGTCTGTGCCTGCACAAATAAAGCTGCTTCCTGGCCTCATGTCCCAACTCTCTCTATAAAGATTCCCGCAGCAGAAGGATCTCCTGAGCCCAGCAGGTCAAGGCTGTAGTAGCCATGAGTGTGCCACTGCACTCTAGTCTGGGCGACAGAGTGAGACTCCTACTAAAAAAAAAAAACTTTTAGAGAAGACTTCTTCTAAATTGATTATTTAAAAATTATATAAAAGAACATCAAGAAGTAAATATTAGAATACACAAAACTGATTTAAAGAGATATATTTTAAGCAACTTACTTGCAAAAATTTTTACCCACATATGACATAGTCAGATGGTTTTCAGTATAGTTTTTAGTTAAATGTCATCTCTTCTGTGGGATGTGATTTTGTTATTTTTTATGCAAGTGGCTCCCAAAACTATTTATTTCATATATTCCCAAAGACACTAACCTTTGTTTACCTGGGACAGTTTTGAGCCTTCTAAAATATTACCAGTTTTTGGGCAACCCCTTAGGGTCCCCTCCCACTGTCGGAGATTTTCTGTCCTCTCCATAAATCCTGCTTTAAAAAACAAACATAAAATATTACCAGTTTTTGTATCAAATAGCATTCTAGTTATATTGGCTTGCTTGTATGTTGAATACAATACTTTTTACAGATAATGGAGTAAGGGTAAGTATGAAGCATGTTCTCTGGAGGTATATTAAAGTAAAATTCCTTTTATGACACATAATTTGTGCTATTTATGAGGTGTTTTCCAGGACAATGTAAAATATAATTCTGATAGACTGTTGTAAATATAAATTGAGAACCAACCTAAAGTTCTTAATATACTGCAAATTACCTTCCTTCAGTGGTTTTCCAATTTAAATTAACTTATAACCAGTCACCACATTGTTCAAATCCTGATTACAAATCCATATCAAAAGAAAATTAAATAGACTCTTCTTTCTTCATTGATTTTAATTTGAAACTTAATTCATTTAGTGTTGCAGAACTTTACAGATTTGAAAAGTGTGATGGATCCATTTGAAGTGTAATGCCAAAACATTTCCATAGGGCGCGCAAGTGGGGCTGCCCAGCCGACCCTTCCTCCCTCTGGGTGTAGAATTTAGGATGCCTTGTTGTGTGAGCATGGCCATTACATCAGTGTGTCACTTTCCCTCCTTCCATAAATATTTAATTCTGTGTTATGCATTATGAATATTAACCATAAACGAGGGTAGCAGTCAATGACCAAGTGGGGAAAACTTTGCCTGTTATTCCTACTGATGTTATAGAGAATGATAGCATTTCTGACATTTCTGTGGACACATTTTTCTGTATTTCCTTTCTATTTTTTTTTTTTTGTTTGTAATTCAGGTGTAGATGTTTGAGCGGAATGTACTACTTTTTTGCAGTTTTTTTACAGGTGGTTTCTGACACCCCAGTCACTGTGTGTGTGTGTGTGTGTTGGAGTCTCACTCTGTCGCCCAATCTGGAGTGCAGTGGCCGCTCCCGGCCACTGCAGCCTCCACCTGCTGGACTCCGGCCGTTCTTACACCTCAGTCTTCCAAGTAGCTGGAACTACAGGCACATGCTACTGCACCCAGCTAATTTTTGATTTATTGTAGAGATGGGAGTCTCGCCAAGTTGCCCAGGCGGGTCTCGAACCTGCAGGCTCAGGCAATCCGCTCATCTCAGCCTCCCAAAGCGCAGGATTACAGGCTGAGCCACCGAGCCTGGCACCCCAATCACTGTTTACTGGCTGTATGGTTTTTTTTAAATTTGAGGAACTGTGATCTCACATACCTCATGGTGGCATCAATAAAAGTTTATTTACTAAAAATATTCTTGGGGAATGCTTGCCCTCCACGGGCTTGAAATGGTTCATGATTAGCTGATGAGTGCGGGTGATGCCTTCATCAGGTTGGCCACATTCATGAGGCTCTGTGCGGGCAGGAGCCTCAGAGCAAGACCCGTCACATTTCCTGCAGGTGGCCTTCTTTCAGCCGTGGACGAGTGACACAGCACCTGTGCTTCCCCGACGCCACGCAGGCTCATCCACACACGTCTTCCGGCGCCTTCGCTCTTCCTTCCTTGCCCCTTTCTGCGACGCTCCTCCGCCTTTTCCACATTGCCGTTCTCGCTCTCTTCTTGCTTGCTCTTCCTCCCTCACCCTGGCTGGCTTGCCTCTGGACCAGGAAGGTCTGCAGCGGGGATGTGATGCATCTCTGTTTTCTTCCATCTTGCATCACCTCGTTAATCAGCCCCTGCCTCAGGCACCACTGCAGGATCCATGTTGGTGATGGAGAAAACTGACCATGTTCTGAGGCCTAGTATACTGTTCCCTGAGCGAATGGGCTGGGTGTTTAGCTTCCTCGGTTAAAAGCCTCCTCCAGACATTTCTCCCATCCAACTTGGTGGGGCAGGTTCTCAGGCGTCTGATGGGTATTGGCCAGGACGTTGGTTTAGGAGATGAGTTGCAAGCTGTTGGTTTCAAATTGATCAGAAAGAAACAAAGGCATGAAACTGCTCAGAGTCTATTGTGTATCAGGTGTAGGGAACAGGGCTTCTGGAGCGGGGAAATCTTTGAGTCTGAAATGTGAGGTTCTACTATCAAAATGCATACTTGTTTCTCCAACCAAAATTTTCTTCATTTAGCAGATATCAGATAGACTGAAAAAAATTAGTTTCAAACTGAAATTTGATTCCTTGTGTTTAGCAATTTTTTTTTTTTTTTTAGTTGGAGTCTCACTCTGTCACCCAGACTGGAGTGCAATGGCCGCTCCCAGCCACTGCAGCCTCGACCTGCTGGGCTCCGGTGATCCTTCTGCCTCAGCCTTCCAAATAGCTGGGACTACAGGCGTGTGCTACCAAGCCCGGCTAGTTTTTTGATTTATTGTAGAGATGAGTGTGCGCCAAGTTGCCCAGGCGGGTCTCGAACCCATGGGCTCAGGCAATCCAACATTTTCCCTTTTTAATTAAAATTTACACCTTAATGTAGTCAGATTTCCCTCACTCCCTGCAGGCTCCTGCTCCTGTAGCATCTTGTTGCCAGTTCCTTCTGTACTCCCGTATTGGGATATGCGGTCTTCTTTTTTTTTTTTTTAAATTAGAGCCTCACTCTGTCACCCAGGCTAGAGGGCAGTGGCATAATCACACAACCTTGACCTGTTGGGCTCATGCAATCCTTCCACCTTAGCCTTCCAAGTAGCTGGAACTATAGGCATGAGCCACCATGCCCAGCTAATTTTTTGAATTATTGTAGCGATGAGGTCTCGCCAAGTTGCCCAGGCAGGCCTTGAACCCATGGGCTGAGGCAATCCTCTCACCTTGGCCTCCCAAAGTGCTAGGATTATAGGCCTGAGCCACTGAGCCCAACCGTGTTTAGTAATTTTGCATAGGACAGAAATCCATGGTAAATCTTTCTGTAGCGATCAAAGGATACACACTTAGATCACTGAAGTATGTGTCCTTTAATTTTTCAGAATTCTGATTCTGGTGGAGTGGGTGTGTGTGTACTTGTGTAATTCAGATTGTAAGAACACCAGAAGTTACACATGAATAAAAAAAGCCTCTGGAATTTTGTCTTAGTTGACACAATGTTTCTTTTTAGGTTTTTTCCCAAGCAGCTCCCAATGCTGTGATGCGTTTCTTCGCCACAAGATGACGCTGATTTCTCCATCCGTGTTGAAGAAGTATGGGATTCCCTTTGACAAGGTAAGAATCTTTGCGCCCATGGTTTTTGCTTATGGGGAATCTAACTTAGGCTAATGTATCCTTAGCTACAACTAGGATTTTTTTTTTATCTTGAAATATTTACTAATGATTTTAATAGCTCACTTAAAATAACACTGAAAATAAAATGTCGCACATTCAGCAAAATAAGAAGGAGCATGTTTCTTAGTGAGCAGCATAACTTATGTATATGTGATCTATTTTAAGAAAAATACAGAGCAGTGACTGGCCACTGGCTCAGAGAGAATTGGTGATCATGGTAGCACTCGGTTGTGTTTTGCTTCCAAACACGTTGAGATGTGATACAATTGAGATTTCATTATGGATAAAATTGCCTGATGATTTAATAATCAGGTATACCCTCTGTGGGGTATTTCTGCAAATTAAATTCTGTATCAGTCAGTGGTTGCTGGATCCCATATTCTTTGTGTCTCTGGGTGGTTTTGGGGCCAGAATTATTGCAGAGCTTGAACATTTTATGTGAAGCAGCTGAAATGAAAAAAGGCTTTGACCAGATAAATAAAAGCTCTCTCTCGGTCTTGGGAGGATGAAGTACTTAGCCACTTGCAGAAACATTAAAAATATCTCTTCTTTCTCCTCTGTATTTCATTTGACTTTTCTTCCCATAATCCTTGACGTTTTCTACCTCAGAAGCTTTTTGCGTGTGACTAAGTCTTTCCCTTTTCCTCACGTTGGGCCCTAGTCTGGCCTTGTTTGTGTGTGTGCTGCCAGAAATGGTTCTAAGGAGAGCTCTTCCAAGGGCCGGGATTGATTCTCCAGCTGGTGGGGGTTTCCTGCTCCCTCCCAACCGCTCTGTGCAGCACTCACCCACGAGATGTGCTCGCCTATGAGTGTGCCCTCTACACTGACTCTCACACAGACTCGACCTAGGAAAAAAACCATACCTGTAAGGTGTGTGCCACAGGGGCTGCCTGCAGGTGTGTGGATGCGTTGGGGAGCCCTACTGGGTGCAGAAGATGCAGTGTATGCTCTAGAGTGGTACACCTAGCCTTCTCAACCCCCTTCCTGCAGGTGGTCTTTTCTCAGTTACGATACAACTTTTCCTCCTCTTTCCATGTATTTTCACAAATTGCCACATCTGCAAAAAATTATGTGTAACAAACAGCTAACGTCTGCTTTTTCTATTATGTGTCCTCTCCTCTCTAACTTTTTTCATGATATCAGATGGTGGTGATTGTTTTAATCTTCTAATAATATGGCCTTGCTCTATTCTGTCCCTGCACTTTGTGATCAGCTTATCACCAGGTGGCCCATACGTGAGTCTTATATTTTGGTTAGCTGGAACTGACTTGTTCTAGAAATACCAGAGGTCTAAAATGAAGAGTCTCATTCAGTGAAAGTAGGTTCCCTTCTTCCACATGGCAAGATGATGATTTCCTGGCTAAGGTGTAGAGGTCTGATTCCTTGGAGACTAGTGGGGCTAAGGGACTACATTTTTAATTTAAATACATTTAAATAGCTACACAAGGCTAGTGGCTGTTATGTTACAATGCCGCTCTAAAATATATAGCTGCAGCCAGAAAAGGGGGCCAACAGTGGCTTCACATATGATCAAAAGTGTGACAAATGGGTTGGGCGTGATGCCTCATGCCTGTAATCCCAGCACTTTGAGAGCCCGAGGCGAGAGGATTGCCCGAGCCCAGGAGATCGAAACCAGCCATAGCAACATAATAAGATCTCATCTTTCCTGAAAATAAATAAGTGGACAGCAAAGTAGTGAATCCAAAATGTCAGACTGTGGTTTTGGCTCTGTGACTTCCTGGCTACACGATCTTGGATAAAATGTCTTTCGAGCTGCATTTAGCCATGCCATGCCACCGGTAGGGTGCAGCTTTGAGAGAAAGACCACAGGGAAGACCACAGGGAGCTGGCTTGTCTTCTTTCTGCCTGGGGGCCTTTGCCCTGCGCTTCAGAAAGAGGTCCCAGGGAAAACATTGAAAGCCTGGCACCTCCACATATGATATTGCTTATACAACAGAGCAGAGTTAGTGTTTTCCACCAACTGGTTCTGAGATATTGGTATCTTTTTTCCTTCTTTTCTTTTTGAGTCAGAGTCTCACTCTCTTGCCTAGGCTGGAGTACAGTAGCACGCGTACAGCCACCACAGCCTCGACCAGGTGGGATCAGGTGATCCTTCTGCCTCAGCTTTCCAAGTAGCTGGAGCAACAGGCATGCACCACCATGCCTGACTAAATTTTTGATTTATTGTAGAGACAAGGTCTTGCCATGTTGCCCATCTTGGTCTCAAATCCATGGACTCAGGAAATCGTCTCGCCTCTGCCTCCCAAAGTGCTGGGATTACAGGCATAAGCCACCGTGCCTGGCTACAGATTTGATTTTCTAGCCAGTGTAGGGAATGTTTATAGGTAGGATTCTGTGGAGCATCAAAAGGTAGTTTCTTTATTCTAGTAGCAGCAGTCCTGCTGTGTTTTTTGTTGTTGTTGTTTGTTTTTTCTGTCTCACTCTGTTGCCCAGGCTGGAGTGCAGTTGCACACTCACCGCCACTACAGCCTTGACCTGCTGGGTTCAGGCAATCCTTCTGCCTCAGTCTTCCACGTAGCTGGAACTATAGACATGTGCCACCATGCCTGGCTAATTTTTTTGATTTGTTGTGGAGATGTGGTCTCACCAAGTAGCCCAGGTTGGTCTCAAACCCATGGGCTCCGGCAGTCCTCTGGCCTCTGCCTCCCAAAGTGCTGAGATTATAGACATGAGACACCGCGCCTGGCCAGTCCTGCCATTTTACTCCTTTATGGGGCTAGCAACAGTTGGGCAGGGTGCTTTCGTTTTATCACACAGCACAGCAGAGACGCGCTTAGATAATGAGGCTCCCTGAGCCCAGGAAAGGAGGGAATTGGGCTGGGCTCTCATGTGACTCAGAGCAGCGGGACCGGAATCCTGCTGGGCGTGGGCACGCCTGTGTCTGCCTTCCAGGGACAGCTGGGCTGCACCCTTTGTGGGAGAACATCTTCCGGGGTTGACTGAGGTGGGGCAGGGTGTCATGAGGCAAATTTCAGGATTGCTGTGATGGAAAATTCTTTCCCATACCATTTTAGCATCCCTAAAATGGCAGTGAAATTGTGGTGTTTGCACCGGCTTTTATGCGGCGTGCCTACTGTATACTTGCACACGCACCATTCCCACTGCCCCCACATGCCCCCTCATGCTTGGACTGACTGAAATGATCCATTGATTTCATCTCCATTTCTGCTCGTTCAGGCAGGGTGTTACTTAGGTTTTCCTTAGATTAGGTGTCAGGGGACTATCCGGATGTTGAGAGTTGACACATGGAGTCGTATCTGAAACTTATAATTATATTAATTTTTGCTATTTTGATAGACTCTTACTCAATTTTCTCATTTGTTCACAGTCAAAATGGAGAATAGTTGACATCTGCTCATGTTTTGATGGTTTTGCATCCTGGATATATCCTTGTTTATATTATACCTTTATATTTCTTCCTGCCCTGTGATTAGTGTGCAGGGCTGGGACATTTCTGAAGACATTCTTATGTCTATTCTCATGGTGATTGTTTTTTTTTTTTTGAGTCAGAGCCTCACTCTGTTGCTTAGACTGGAGTGCTGTATCATGATCACAGCTAATTGCAGCCTGGACCCCCTGGTCTCAGGCGATCCTTCTGCCTCAGCCTCCTGAATATTTGGGACTACCAGTGTGTGCCACCATGCCTGGCTCCTTTTTTTAAATTTTATTTTCTTGTACGGAAAAGGTCTTGCTGTGTTGCCCAGGCTGGTTTTGAACTCCTGGGCTAATGTGAACCTCCCGCCTCCACCTCCCAAAGTGCTGGGATTTACAGGTGTATGCCACTGCACCTGGCTTGGTGGTGAAATTCTGTAAGCATTCATGAATCTTGCACATTCTTGCAGTCATTCACAGGCCAACAAGAATATATGGGGTGCATACTGTGGCAAGAGAGTTCGTGAAAAGAAAGTTTTAGTCTTTTTGATTTCAAAGCCCTTATAATCAGGGGGAGCTGTGGTGGGAGAGGAGATGACAGAGATGCAGAGCCCAGAGGGTCATCGTGTGAACCATTCCTGTTTCTCCATAAGAAGGGTCCAAATCCATCACTCTCGTGCAGGGGTCCCACCCTTCCCGGCCACATGGCAGGAGCTGAGGGGCCAGCCAGCCAGCGGTGCTCTGTGTGTATTCACAGCCGCTCCCCATCATTCCCGTGATAGCCTGCAGTCCGCTTTCTGTCCGATCAGGGGCAGCATTAGATTCTCACCAGAGCTCGAACCCTCTCGTGAACTGTCCAGGGGAAGGGTCCAGGCTGCCGCTCCTGAGGCCCCACAGAGGTGGTTCTTAGCTTGAGGGTTGATTACCCCCCCCCCCCCCATGCCACAATGGTTGGGAACTGCCGCTGCCGGGGTCAGCAGAGGGAGCGACCCCATGGGATTCGTGGGTTCAGGGGCAGGCACGGGGCATTTTACCCTAATTTTTCGCGTTCCTGTTCAGTTCCTTCTAAGAACTGTATTTTGGAGAGATTCCTAATCATCTCTCATGCGCCAGATGTTTGTTGAACTCAAGTATATTTTTAATTCTGTAAAGCAAATACTTGACAACAGAAATGTTCTACAGGAGAATGGATGAAAAAAATCCTGGTATTTCCATATACCATATCGTTTATGCCATGGGATATCAGTAAATACTAATGAACTCCTGATGACACAGTAGAGAAGAAATGAACATTGAAGACATGCTGGGCTAAAATAAATTTTAGACTTCTTTTGTATCCTTGGACAGGCAACGCTAGCCAATGTAACAAGAATCAGGACCGTAGTTGTTACTGCACTGGGGGATGGCCTGGAAATCTCACCAGGGAGTGATCTTGGGTGATGGAAGTGATAAGGGTATTGGTTATATGGGTGTGTGCATTTGTCCAAATTGGTCAAACCATACATTTATTTGAGTATTTTACTGTGTATTAATGATATCTCAATATAGAAAATGTAAATACTTTTTATTTGAGTTGGTACGGTCATCAAAAGTGTGGTCTTAACATCTTATTATCAGAGCTAGCAGAGAACACAGGTTCTGAGCGTGAACAGGTAACATTTGTTTGCTAAATACTCTGGAAATATTTATAAAGGAGTATTGTTTCAGTATTGTGTATTGTTTCAGTACGCAAACCTTATGGGTACTATTCATGTTACCTGGTACCAACTTTAATAATGGGGGGACACAAAGAGTTGCACCCTATTGGGTGCTGGGTTGGGATCATTTTAAGGTCAGACAATGGAAAATAAAGACTGTATGGCTTCATCTGAAGGAGCGAGTAGTAAGTTTTATAGTCTAGTTTTGAGTAGACAATTTTTTAAAAGAAACAACACTATATATTTTTGCTTTACTTTTTCTTCGTACTCCTTGGTATATTTTGTACCGCTTTGGGGATTATTAAAACATACCTTTAATTTAAAAAATAGGAACAGAGTAAATAATATTTTTCATGTTTGTTTTTAGTCTTTTGGCTTATTTACAGAAGTTATTTTAAATATATTTTAAATGCACTCACACATACATATATTTGAACAGTTCTTTGAGTGGAAGTCTTACTATTAAATGGAATACAGTTAATTGTATGTCTTCCAAGTGTTAGTAAGAATAATTTGATGAATACAACCTACTTTTTTCCAGCAATAATTCAGTTTTTATATCTATAACATAAGCAGTTATGGTATGTCTTTTTTGTATAACTCCAGTATTGCCAGTTATTAAAGTATTAGCATACATACATTGATAGGTAGTATGAGCACTTTTATATGAATAATTTAAAGACATTTTCAAATAAAACGTAATAGCTTTTGATTATGGATTGAACTATTGAACTCAATTTCTGGCACTCAAATGCCAGAAGGCCACATCCCTGGAATGGTTTCCTGAAAAGAAACATTATTCAAGGGTCATGTAAAGAATCTGGAAAAACTCTGTTTGTTATAGCTCTGATATCATGGTGTTTTTGTTTGTTTATTTTTTTATAAGAAATACATTTTAATTTCATTCACAATTTGCGAAGTCTTATTACTAAAAAATATGTTTCCTGCTCTGCAGATTACCCAGGAAGCTGGAGAATTTATGATCACTTTCCCATATGGTTACCATGCTGGTTTTAATCATGGCTTCAACTGTGCAGAATCTACAAATTTTGCTACTGTCAGATGGATTGACTATGGAAAAGTTGCTAAATTGGTAAGTTATGCCTCAAAAAGAAAGCATGAATGAAATGTACACGTTGGTTCTTGTGGTGGCGTGCTCAAGGTCATGTGCAGCATTTGATTCTTTTTTACTCATCAACACGAGGTGAATGGTACCACAGTCATGCATTTGGACTGGATACATTCGTTTTACATAGGCTGTATAGCAGTGAGGCTATATTTTGAGATTTGGGGGGAACAATTTACCTTCCAGGTATTTTTGTGCAGTGAATGTTTGCTTTCTGTCTTAAGGTCACCAGTTGTTTTCTTGCATGATTTTCCAGGGGTTTCGTGTGGCGCAGTGTTAGGGGCTCAGATCTCTCCCTGGTAGAGCTTAGTTCATGGCTTAGAATATAAGTTTGCTGAATAAAGTGTCTGGTCAAATTGTAACAACAAGAGATTGAGAGAGGGTGGCAAGAAGACATGATTAAAATAGCCCTTAGTGCCGATTTCTTGAAAGTAATCATGTAGAATGTATGTTAACAGGAAATATATTTTGTGTTAAATTTGTTATAAAATTTTTCATCTCCTGCCCGGTATATTTAATTTAGTTCACATGCTGTGTATTTTCATCCACAAGCAACAAACTTCTGTTTCCTGTAATGACTTTCCCCCCGTGGTGTTGAAGAGAGGACATCCGCAACGTGATGGCGGCCTCTGTTAGGGTTACTTCCTTTCCTGTGGCTTTAAGGCCAAGGTGCGTCTGACAGAGGACAGCTTCTACATGAAACTGTGTTGTACAGAGCGGCGAGGTTGATGTGAATTTAGTGGGCAACGAAAAGTCAGGCTGACGCAGCCTTGCCTTGGCTCGACTGAGCGCCACTCCTTCCACATTGATAAACCTTGCACATGGGACCATTGGGTAGAAACATATTCAGGGAAGACATCTCTAGGTTTAATACACATGTGCACTTAGAAAATTGCATAATATGTGAAAATTTAAGTAAAAGTGTAGTCTTTGTCAGCCCGGGAAGCACTTGAATGAATTCTTGGCATAGAAGAAAGCCCCTGCTACGATCTGAAGACTTTTTCTGTTGTAATTTCTATTTATGAGGGGTATTTTAGAACAAAACATTGGAACTCCTTCTTCCCATTATACATGCTACATATGATAATAAATCTAATTGAAAAATAGGAAACTCCATGTATATTCCTTGGTCAAGTACCCCATGCCTTTTGCAGAAATGTAATGCTTGCATCTACCCTGAGATGGGATCTTGACCAAGAGATTATACCAAGTTCTGCAATTTTATGGTTTGCTCGTTAAATCATTGACCTAAGCCAGTGATTACAGTTGTTCAGCGTCACCACCCAAATTGCATGGTGCTTGCTTTCTATGGGGTCCAGAGCTAGTTCATGAGCTGGCCAAAGTAGGGGAGAAGTTAAAATGCCAGGAGCACTGGGGTGGTATTCCGCATTTCCAGTGTAAGCAGAGTGGTGGTGGGGTGCAGTAGGCTTCTCCTCTGCAGTCCCAGCTGGCAGTGCTCATCGCAGTCGTGGGATGAAGAAGGACTGCAGTGTGGCACGAGAGGCAGGGGTCTGAGGCTCAACCTCCCTGCTCTGTCGAGCCACATCCTAGGAGGAGAGACAGTTTTCTCTGTATATAAGTTAGACAGAGGCGGAGTGTGGTGGCTCATGCCACTAGCGCATTGGGAGGCCAAGGCAGGAGGATTGCTTGGGGCTGGGTGTTTGCGGCTGCCGTGAGCTGTGATGGCACCACTTCTCTCCGTTCGGCCCTGGCTGACAGGATAAGACCCCGGCTCTAAAGACTAGGATACAAACATGTTAGCAATCCCTATCTACCCTATTGTCTCATTGCAAGGAGAACAGAACTTATGTGAGTATCTAATCCTTCAACCTAGGGCGGGATATGACTGTTCTGTTTGGTTTTGAGTAGAAAACATTCAATGCCATGAAGCAGAGCCAGCCACCTTCTTGACAATGGTTCTACTTACAGGTCATTTAGATATTTTTGGTGGTGTTGTCTCTACCCATTCCTTGCTTTGGCCAGGTGCTGCTGCTCAGAGAGTATGTCCGCTCTCCATAGCTGCTGCAGCAAATGACCACAAATTCTGTATTTGGAAACGACGCTCATTTATCAGCTCACGGCTCTGCTGGTCACAAGCCTGGCACTGGTCTCACCCGTGGAACATCAGGGTGTTGGCAGGACTTCATTGTTCACTGCAACTTCAGGGAAGAATTCATTTTCTTTCTCTTTCTCATGCCTGGCTGAGTTCACGTCCTCACAGTCGTAAGACTGGGGTCCAGTTTGCTTGCTGTCTGAGGTGGGCACTAGACTTTGCTCCTGAGGTCTGTCTCCAGCCCTTGTATGGAGCCCCTCCATTTCAGAGCAAGTGGTCTGCAGAGCCCCGTATTCGTGTAAGACTCCGCAGATGCAGATGTCCAGGGTTAGGATGTGGTCATGTCTGTTGGGGCTGTACAAAGAGAGAAGCCTCTGCCGGCCACTGAGGGAGCCGATTAATCACTGACGTGGCCGGAGAGAAAGCATCGCCTTTGGGTCGTGCAGCCCATCTTAGTTGTGGTGCATAAAAACAGGAAATGAAACTTGTGGCAGGTACAGTTTGATATGTTTCACCAAAGCATCCCACACGTTCTTAAATGACGCCTTCAAGATTCGTTTTTCTTGGCTCTTCTCGGATAATGAGTTCTCTTTCATCGTAGTATGCTGTCATGGCCTTTTTCACCACATCTTTATGTCTTTAGTCACTTCTTTGACACATCTTTTAAAATTTTCCAGTCTGATTCTTTAGGTAAAATTTTGAAATTATTGTATTGCATGTGGGTATAGTTTTTAATCCTTGGGTCCAGATTTATGTTTTCTTTGGGACGAATGTAATATATGTTAGTATAATTATGCTTTAAGCCTCGTGGATGCCCATATTTTTTTTTTTTTTTTGAGTTGGAGTCTCACTCTGTCACTTTGTTTGTCTTAATTCTCTACCTCCTCCAATGTATTTTAAATTGTAACTGTAACGAAAAGTATTATTACAAAGTCTGTGGCAAACAGTGTAGTGATTTCTAAAGGAACTCGGAAATGACCTTCCATAAGACCCAGCAATCCCCCTTCTGGGAATATACCCAGAGAATCTAACTCAAATCATTCTACAAAAAAGATATCTGCACATGCATGTTTATTGCCGCACTATTCACAATAGCAAAAACATGGAACCAACCGTGCTGCCTGTTGAAAGTGGACTGGACAAAAAACTGTGGTACATATACACATAAAGAAGGACAACATTATGCAATTCACAGTAACCTGGATGGACGTAGAGTCTGTAAACTGAGTGATTAATCACAGAAACAAAGAATTGAGTACTACATGTTTTCACTCATAAGGAGACCCTGAACATTTATCATTTATCATAATGCTACATGAATGGGATTGGCAGTAGCGCATCACTGAGGGTGGATGGGTAGCATAGAGCACTAATGCGGGTAACTGATCCCAAACCAGTTAAAGTGATGTCCAGGGCAAGGGCCAAACTTCACCACTAAGATCATCACTTATTACCTACCCTGAATTGTAACCTGCATCTTTAAGGAAAAAGGCTGGGCGTGGTGGCTCAGCCTGTAATCCCAGCACTTTGGGAGGCCGAAGTGTGGGTTTTTTCTGAGCCCAGGGATTTGAGACCAGCCTGGGTAACTTGGCGAGACCTCATCTCTACAATATAAATCACAATAACTAGGCAGGCATGATGACATGTGTCTGTAGTTCCAGTTACTTGAAAGGCTGAGGCGGAAGGATCGCCTAAGCCCAGCAGGTCGAAGTGGTAGTGGCCGTGAGTGTGCCACTGCCCCTGAGTCTGGGTGACAGAGTGAGGATCTGATTTAAAAAAAAAAAAAATCAGGTTTTGACAAACTTCCTTCATGTTCCCTGGTTGGCGATCTTTTGATCATCAAGTGGGCACCTGTTCAAAGCCCTGAGGTGGCTCACAGATGGGGCAGAGCTCCATTTATGGAGCCGAGGCCGGCCTGCCCATACCAGGCACCATTCGTGTTTCTCTGAGTTCATCACTCGTGGGTTAACTGGCTCCCTGAGAGCGGAGGTGAGAGAAGAGATGGCTCTGGCAAGGGTTCAAGCACCCCTTGCTCTGCCTTTAACTGCTTGGCTTCGGTGGTCCTGGGGTGGGACTGGAAAGGGGCCTTCTGTGGCTTTCATTGGACTCTATGACTGGCTTATTGGTGTGTGATTCAAGAAATTTTCCCTGTTGTTCAGATTTGGGTACGATGGATTAGACGTCCCCTTTTATTATTTGTACAAAAGTCAAACATACTTCTTCCAAATTTTAGTACAGACACGGATGTTTGATATTTTCAGCTAAATTATTGCATTCTGGATATTTCTGTACTCGTGGGTATGGTCTGTGCTTTTTAGTCCTTCAGTCCAGATGGACACTCTTCACACTATCCATCCATACTCCTCTTTCACACAGTGTTTTTTTTTTTTAAAATATGGGTTGTGTAACAGATCTGGGGAAAATAGGCAGATATGGGAGCGAGGAGACATTTCCTTCTTAGCCTTGGATGGTAAACAAGGATGGTGTTGCGGCCATCCCTGTTCTGAGAAATCTCTGGTGATGCCCGGGCCTTTGAGGATCATTCAGCTTTCTTGCTTTGACTTGCAAAACTCAGCATAGCTACGTCCTACAATGTGTTTCAGAGCAGCAAGGCCTTGTGTTTAGCACGACCGATCTACCTACAAAGCCAACTGTACCATTATTTTCTTGTTTCAGTAACCCGAGGCAAGATTTTTTCTTTTAATATTTTTAAAATTTTAAAGATGTGGGGTATAATTCAGGTTAGTATACAAATGTTCATTCTGCAGGTCCCCTTGTTGATGAGGTATAGCCCTCCCTCCCCTGGCAGTTTCCCTCAACTGACAAACCCATCCCTTCTTCCCCTGGCAGTTTCTGGCTACTGCCAATCCCTTTCTCATAGTATTATGATCATTGTTCAAGGTCCGAGGCAAGA